CTGCCCGTCCAGTGCGGCCCTCTCTCTCAGGTCCCTGCCGACCTGGATCTAAACAGGGTAAAGTGAGTGTTACGTGTTGCATTCAGGAGTTCATCGGTGACTGCGCTGATGTTTTTTCGTAGTGTTAGTAGATGTAGCTTCCAGGACATCGTAGGTCCTCTTTTAGAAAATGTTGTTTTTTTTTTTTCCCTTTTCTTTTTTCTATCTTATTTTGCTCAAGGTTTCCACCCCATCAACCTTTTTATTCAGTGAAAGCAGATGCAGTCTGAAGGTGAGGCCATTTTTTTAAATATTTTTTTTTTATCGCTTGGCATTGGTGAATAATGACGCCAGAGGTGGGGGCACCTCGACAACATCACAACCTTTTTGTCCCGGGTTTCCATCCATTTCTGTGTACGGTAGTGCCACCACTTCAAAGCCGCGCTCTTCATACAGCCTCTTTTCTATCTTTTGATTTTGAATAAAAATGCGTTTTCATGTACCTTTTGTAGTTTATTGCTGATGTTTTGGGTTTTCAGGATTTTTCACGGTCTCTGTCCTTAAACGGCAGAGAGGCAGGGTGTGAGGATAGCCCCTGCCATTTTTTAAACTTTCTAAACAGAACATTTACCTTACAAGAATACTCATTCCATTTTCCATAATGTGCCGTATATAACAGGAATTGTTCGATAGTCAGCGTGGACTGCAGTTTATGTGGGAAAACACTCTTTTATCTTTGAGATTTGTATGGTTTCTATTTTTTTGCTCTCTTTTAAATGTAGTTTTTTGGAGCCAGGATTGACTTTTAGGGGCATAATATGGATCAGGCCTCAGGGGGATGAAGAACTCAGTAAATGGTTACTTCATTGCAGTTTAAAGTCACTTTGTAGCCGCGGTGATGGGTTTTGTGTGCGTCTTATGTAATCTTACGCCACCACTCACAATGAAATCGACTAGAATTTGATTTGGATTGTCCTCATAATTGAAGTGTACCATTTTGGCTAGAAAAAAATTAATTGGTTGCACATACTCTCTTTCTATTAACAAAAAAAAAAAAGATACTACAGAAATTCCATTAATCTTCACCGTGTTGGTCTGGAACCAAAACTATATATATGGCTGTATGATATAAGACTTTTTGGTTGAGGACCTGATCCTTTGTTCGACTTTATCTCAGGGATTTATCATTTTATGCAACACAAAGGTAAAAGAAACGGACAAATCAGCTCGATGAAATATTTGACAGCTAGCCGAGAAAAGTCCATTAAAAAGTTTTCATCCGCTGGAGTTTTCTGGACTGCACAGAGAAAGGTTTAGGGTGACCAAAACTCATCCCAGAAATGCACTAAACATCATTAGCTGTTGAGATCTGACGCGTATAGATTTTTGTTTTCATTTTCGAATCAGTACGAACTATTTGAGCTTAACTACGCAGAATAAAACCGGCCTGACTTCCTCGCATATTTTGATCCGCAGAAGCTGGAGAAAGTGTTCTTCTTATTTCCTGTATTTTTTTTTTGTTTTGTGTGTGCGTGTGTGTGTGCAGACAAGGGATTTGTCATTTATAATATCTGTATTGAAACTACCTCTTTATTTGTTACCACATAACTGATTGTTTTTCTTATTTATTGGTTTCATTGCAACAGTGTCCTTTTTTCTGTTTAGTTTATTTTCACTCAGTGACCCTCACAGATGTTACCAAGCTATGGTACCTGCTTTTTTTTCAGTTTTTTTTATTATAATGAAATGCATTAAGGCTTTACCTCATATTTCTTTCAGCCTACTTTGTTACACCCAGAAAAATGGTCAAATTTCTCCTTTCAGGGACCTTCATTGATCTAATCGTTTCTTTTTTTAATTGCAAAATTAGCAGAAATATTTCATATTTCACTCTTGCCTTCTTGTTGTGAATCCAGTAGCAACCATGACATAAAAGCCTTCACGTGATGCGTTCTCTTTGAGCTAACAATTCCTTTTTTTTTTTCCCGTCGACCTTATCCGAATACGCCTTGTTATCTGGCAAACGGCCGTTTGCTGTGTGCGTTGTATTCTCCACATCATGATATGCCTGTGCGTATGCGTGTTTCCTTTTTTTTTACCCCCCCCCCTCCTTTTGTTTTCCCTTACTCGCCACTGGCTGGTGAGGCGGTTCAAGGCGACATAAGGCGTTATCATATCTGCCTCTTTCAATGCTGCTCCTGATCGATTATCAATTGAAGAGTGGTCAAACTGACATCTCCTCGCCTTTTTACGGGCCTCGCGTGACCCTGGGGCCGCGGCACGAGACCGCACACACACACACACACACTCACACACACACACGCACACACGCGGCGTTATCACCGGGGTTTGACAACACTGTGGCTTTCACTGCCTTTTTATTTGAATTTATTTGAATCCAAACATGTTTTAACACCAGAAATGAAGAGCAGCACATGTGTCCGAGCCCTGTTGTAAGGGAGCACGAGATGAGAGGAACACGAAGGACGAAGAAGTAGAAAAAAAAACGGTGACAAATCTCAGGGAAGAAATAGATTTTTACACACTGTCATCAAACAAGTGAAACGTCTTCGTTTTTTTTTTTTTTCCCGTTTTTTTTTTTTTAAACAGAAATCTCTTGTCTGCTCTTGTTACTGTAACTACCTGTGAAGAATGTGATCCATTATGTGTTAAAAGCATGTTTAGAATGTGTTAGGACTTGAAACCAAATAAATGTGAAGGTTATGCAAGTGCAAAAAAAAAAAAAAAAACTGACCTTTTTTTTATTTTGTTGGAAAAAAAAAAAAGTTAGATATATTATCACACACACAAAAACAGACGTGTTTTTTTTTTTTTTTAAATCAAATATCCGGTGACACTCTCTCTCTCTCACACACACACACACACACACACACACACACTGATGCTCACAGGTTATCTCTCCACTGACTGATGGTTGTCATCTGGCTGCTGATTACATCACGGGCGTGATCCAGAGGTCCAGGAGGTATTTTTCTTT